GGGTGGTGGTGAATATGAAAAGTTTGCTGGCCCTAAATTACCAGCTGTGGAAGGTTTTGGAATACAATGTTGCATCGTTTGAATAATCTTTGACAAGACCATATTCCTAATTTTTGTTTATAAGTTGGTCCAGAGGAGCTTTGTTCTTAGCAGCCTTCCATATAGTTCTTTTGGAAGGTGCTGTTGCAAGGTAGAAGATCTACTAAATGTATACACAATTGGCAGATTCCCATAAGCTACAGTAACTTAACAGGGTATTTATAAAATGTTTTGGAGACGTGGCTGTTATGAAAAAGGTCGCTTGTGTTGCTGCTTTAATGTTAAATGGCCTTGAGGGATCAGGGTTGGGTCATACATATCTGCAGATGAAAAACTGCCACAACCTTTTGCAGTGTTCTAGGAGATGGAATCCTGTTCAATGTGGTGGTTAAAAGCTTCTTCAGTTCCTCCATCTCTGTCTTGCAGGCGGAGAACATATATAATGATGAAGACCCTGAAGGAAGTGTGGATCCAGAAGGTCAAGGATCCTAGATGGCAACCTTTTCCTGTTTTTAGTCTTTTTTCCTTCTCTTCCCTCTCAGCCCCGATATTGACTTAACACTGGTTTTGAGACACACGTAGACTTTGTGTTCAGCCATCCTTGTGTAGATACCATCAACAGGCTTTTTAATCCAGACAGTGAGTACTGCCCAAGAAAAGGGCTTAGCCCAACTCGGTACCGTGCTGTAGCTCCTTGGTCAGATTTCCTACAGCAACCTCTTGCGTATAGGGCAGGCTGTCCTGTTTTAGCTGCCTTCTTCACACAGAGCAAACTTGGTTTTGTTGGTTTTTCTTCTTCTGCCTTTAGCTTGCTACAGCTGCGGGCTTTTGCCTAATTTAAGCAGAAGTTAAATCCGCAGAGCTGCCAGAGTATGCTTGAGCCAATGGAGATGATACAAGTGTTAATCCACTGGCAGTTCAGAAATGGAGTGTGGAAGGTCTTGTCCTTTTCAGTACAACTCAGAAGTCTTGGGATTCCTTTAGTTAATCTGTACCTTGTGGATTTTTCTGCCTCTGCAGATACAAAACAGACTTGCAGATTCTGACTTGAACTGAAATTAAGTTTTATTCTATACTTTTCGTCTCTGCTGGCAATTTGGGTTTTGCATTCCCTCCTTCCTTTCCCTTTTCTCCCATCTGCTGGGCAACAGCGGTTTGGATTTGTTAGCTATTCCTGCAGAGCATTGTTCACCTTCCATGTATTTTGCTCTATTGTGTGTTTCTTGAGCTGTGTTTTCACATATATTTCTTTCCTTTCTGTGAAATGGTTTTAAAAACTTGGGGGCCACCAAGTTGTAAAGGTGTATGTTTTTACCAACTGATGTACCACAGATGGCATGCCCAGTAACCTAAAACAGCATTGGTAGCTGGTATCTGTAAAGCAAATTAAATGTGGATGAACTACTTTTTTTAGGAGTTAGTCCTTGACCACTAGTTTCTGCACATCTTCCACTAGGGTGTCCTGTTCCACCAGCAACCTGTTACTCTCCATGCTCCTCATGACTAATTGCGTGTAAGTGCTTCAGATGGAATAAATTTTTTCTACGTAAATGCTGTGTAGCTCTGTGATTTTTGTGCTGATGTTTTCCTTCTGCATTAACTGCTTTGGTGAGAGTAAAGTGTACCTCTTCAGAAAGCAAGGGCGTAGTCTGGACCCACGTGTCCTTTGAGACTAGGTGCTGGTAAGATACTCCTTACGTTTGTAACACATGGATGCTTCTCCCCGTCCTGTTTCTGCTGCTTTCTTTGTGAAATGAGGAAATGAGTACTTAATATCCCCAAGCAGTTGGGAATGCACAGAAGTGTGCCTTTCACCTGAAATGTGCTGCTGTCTGGATTTTGGGTCTGCCTTTAGCCTTTGCCACAGAACTATTTTTTTCTTTCTTTTTTTTTTTTTTTTGTTAGTCTGCAGCATGAATAGTTGAATACCGTACAAGTACCTCGGTTTGACACACAAGCTGGTTTTCTCTTTGAGATGCAGCTTTGAGAATTAAAAGGATCCTTAAACTCCAACCTTTATTTTCAGTGTGAGACTTTATATAAAGTGGAAACCTGTTCTCCACAAACTAGTTCCTGTGGCCCACAGTGGAGCATGTCACAATATAGCAGAGACCCTTGAAATACAAAAGAAAATCCTGTTAAAAGGATAAAGCTTCCCTTGCATGTAAACTTTAAAAATCAAACCCCCTAACACTGGCTTCCAGAACAATGCTTTCTGTGCAGGCTTATACAATCCACCCATGGAACAAGACAAGATACGTTTTCCAAACACAGCAAAACATATATCTGTTATTCTTTATATATGTCCATGGTTCAGTGCAAGTATTATTTTCTCTGCTCCTCTGTGGAAAAGCAGTTTTACTACAAGATCAACAGCAGCGCCTTGAGAAATACACACAAGCAAATAATTGCCGGGTATTCCTGACTTCGGGCAGCTGCTGTGCATCAGGTAGGATAAGCAGCAAGAAGAGACGTCCCCTGCAGATGCCTCTGTCTGTTACTTTTGCTACGAAGAGGAAAAAGTCCTAACAGTCCTGGTCTGCTTTTTCTTCCGATTTGCAAAGGTGGCCGTAGATTTCTAAGCAGCTCCTGCAGGGGTAGAATACAGTAAATTTAGGCTACTGAATATCTACATAAAGTACTCTGCCTAGAGAAAATGGGGAAGGGGGGCAGATGCTATTTCTGAAAAACATTCTTTTCGCAGTATGGAACAAAAGTAATTGGGAAACACTTAAGCTGGCTCAGTACGTGGTCTTGTGAGTGTGCAGACCTAGCCCAGCCCTTCCAGAGCCCTTGGCAAACAAACTAGCTTTAACAGAAGGGAATGTAATTTTTGGTGTGAGCTACGGGAGCCGGCAGCTTGGAGCCGTGCTTAAGTCTGAGGTCCCCGGTGCAAACGTGAAACTCAATGAGGTGTCCTGACACCGAAGCAGCCTTGCACGCTATCGCTTCCAGGGACAGCAGTTCGTAGATTGCTGTGAGCTAAGAGACTGCGCTGCTGCACCCAGGCTTAAATACTGGTCTGTGATTTAGACCTGTGGTTTAGAAGGACCCCAGGCAGCAAAGACACGGGGTTGTTGGGATCTGGTCTGAATCGTAAATGCGGTTACTCCTGTTAATACATCTTGGAATGGCTGGTGACATGACAGGCTGAAACAGAGATCTCTTCCCCTGTGCTTACCATGCTAAAGTCTTACCTGGATAAAAGAAAACTACACCTATTTGTGGTAAGGACCATCCTCCCGTGGTGTGCTTGTATGAGGAGGTTTGAGCGGAGAAGGGGCAAAAAGAATACTAAAGTAACAGTGGAGTTACAGAAGATGGTTAAGAGTGTGTACAGCTGAGACTGGAGTAACACCTAACAACGCAAAGTTTGGTGATTAAAATAGTCCACAAATGCATAGACATTTTCTGGAGCTTCAAAAAAATCCCGTGTAATAAAGAAGAGCTGAGTCAAAACAGCAGTAGGGAGCAGAAGATAGTTCTCTTCACTGAAGAACATCCACAATAGTGTTTCCCAAACCTAAACCGTGTCTCCTTTCCACGTATTCCTACGGAAATGTGCACTTCGTTTTAAGTGGCCATGCCTGTTCTTGGAAAGCATCCTCTGCTTGTGTACAGGGATTTCCAGCAAATCCCTCTTTGCTGGATGGCAAAGGGTCTGGAGCTCCTGCTGTGCTGCCCCGCCGGACCCCTTGCTCACACACTGGCCATGGGCCAGGAACCAGGAGCAAAAGCCCATGGTGGCCGATAGCTGTGTGACCACCACGCAGTGCCCCAGCCTCTCTTCTCCACCATCCTCCTCCCCCCAGCTCCTACCCAACCCCTCCACACCGCAGGGACAAGACACAAACGGACTTGTAGATGGAGAGCTCCTGGTGGAGGCTGGTCCTCAGCTCCTCCAGTTCCTGATTCTTGCGCTGCTGGAGCTGGACCCCGTTCTTCAGCTCCTTCAGCCTGTCCTCCAGCTCCTCAACCTGTTCCTGCGGAGTAGGAAGACAAGACTGGATTAGCTGGGGGAGGAAGGCTTTCTCGGTGCCTGCACTCAGCTGCTGCCCACGGTCTCCTGGGGGGATCTGCCTGTTGATGGTGTTGGTCTGGACAAGCACCGCCTTAAAAAACCTCTGCAAAAAAGCTTTGTTTTATTACAAAGGCAGGAGCTTGGGCTGGGATGTGATGTGTTGGATCCTGAGGCTTCTCTTGGCTGGTTGGTTTTGTTCCCTAAACTACTTTGTCTGTGTTTTGAGAAGCTGTCAGAACTACATAAACTTAGGAGTCAGGAGAAGTTAAACAAGGAATTTGGGAAAAAGAAAATGTCGAGGCACATCCCAAAGTCCTGTCCTCCAAGGGAGAGCGGACCCTGAAATCCACGACGAGCAGCGTCACGGGCACTGGGTGACCCGGTCCCCAGCTCGGCCGGGGAGGAGAAGGGATGGAGGGGACACGCCAGCTTCCAGAAGCTGCCCAGAGCCAGGCTGGGAGGAGGCAGCGATTATGAGCCGAGAACAGGGAGTGTTGAAATTGGGGAGATTAATTGTAGAGCCTCTTTGCCAAATGTGCTCTTGTAGATATTGAATTGCCTTTTCTCTCAGGACGAGGTGCCGGGGGGGAGGAATGCCTGGCGCAGCCAGAAATAACCCGCTCGGAGGCAGCCCGGCCCCTGGGCTGCAGGCGCAGGAGGTGAGACCCTTCCTGGCAGTGGGAAGGGCAGGATCTGCTCCGGCAGGGCTGGGCTTTTAAAGAAAAGCCACCTGCGTTTAACACTGACTTTTCCAAGCGCCTTTGCTCAGCCCCCACGCTACCGCAAGCTGCGGGAAACGGGCAGTGCCTGTGCTCAGCAGCACCGCTCCGCGCTGCCACCGACCCGCTCCGGGAAGGAAACCCCCCGTCCCCTCCACCTCGTCCTGGCTCGCTGGGGCCATTTCCGAGGCGCAGGTCAAAACCCAGTGAGAATATAATCGAGCGAAAGTTTTTTCTGGCAGCTGATCAGGCGAGTCCCCAGCACTTTCCCACCGCATCCCTGTAGCCTTGGGTTTGCCCTGTGCCCAGGGCTGCTGCTTCGCCTGGCCAGTGCCGGGGAAGGGGATGCATTTGACTTTAACCAGCAGGAGATATTCCACCTCATTACTCTCCTCACCCACCCCGCTCCTCCCCTTGGCCCTACGAGCAAGACCTTCAGCATCCACATTTCACCGGCTATAAACAACGGCTCCCACTCTCGAAAGAAGAGGGTGCGAGGGGTGCCCAGCCAGCGCGTACCCGGTACTGCCCGACCTCCTCATCCCGCTTCTGCTTGGCGAGGACGATCTGCTCCTCCAGGCTCCGGTTCTGCAGCCGCAGCCGGCTGGCCTCCCCCTGCAAGGGCCGCAGGGCTTCCTTCATGCCCTGGATCTCTCCCTGCATCTCCTGCAGCGCCTTCACCCCCGCCTCGCGTCTCGCCAGCAGCCGCAGCCGTTGGGGTTCGTAGTGCTCCTCCAGACCCCGCCGGCTCTCCGCCACGAAGCTCTCGAACTCCATGGAGAGCCGGCGGCTCTCCTGCAGGTACAGGTTATCCTGCCGACACGGCGGCGGCTCCCGCC